TGTTAGATGACCCAGTCCACCCCATCTGCGAAGCCGGGAGCCAGAGGGCATGGAGGCTATAGGTATGCTATGCTGGGGCCCCATTGTCCTTTGGAATCTGGCATCCTTTTCTCCAGACCAAAGGCTCGAAGCCTGCACACTGCTGTCCTTTCTTTATACCTGTTCCTAGGTAAAGGAGAAAATGTTGCTACAGTATAGAGGCATCAGGGCTTGGGGCTCATGATAGATCCCTCCATCCCCAGGAGCAAGAAGCAGAGTAGACAGGGGAGGAGAAGTAGGACTTTTCTGTCACACACATAAACACACATAAAGCGAGGGAAGTTTCGGTGTATAAAAAGGAGCAGGGCACTGTCTGTTTAAGAGGTTCTGCAAACGAGATCAGCATCAGAAACCTCTGCTTCTGCCACTATGACTGTGTGGGAGGGAGTAAAAGTAGAAGGAGAACGGAGAAGATGATGTCATTTGGTGTTTTCTAAAAACCTGTAATTTTTTCTAAGAATAAGGCTTTTATTGGGACGGGGCCTGTTGCTGATGCCATGAGATGCCACAAGGCCAATAGAATCATCCTCATGACCATGGTCCAGACAGGTATTTGTACTCTTTTAAACCACTCTGGGACTCAAAGGGTCCGTGGTTATTGAGGTGATGGCAAACTAGGCCACAGGGCTATAGAGTACTGGCTGAATTTGTGCCTGGGGAGCTAAAGTGAGGGGAATCTGGCAGGAGTGGGAGACCCCCCTGGGACCATAAGGAAGTGTTGTACTTCCTCCACTGGAAAGGGACATGTTGGTAGCATGTGCCATCAAGAGCAATGGGGCCTGGTCTCCATAGCGCCCCTGGTCCCCAACTTGTTTGGATGAGTCTGACCTTGCAGGGCAAGGTGAACCTTCTAGAGACAAGAGTGGAGAAGTGTGTTTGAGATAAGAGAAACTCTGAGGGTGAGTGAGGCCAGCGAGGCCAGTGTGGGCTCATCTGATGAATTTAAACCTTCCTTAGCTCCCTTCATCATGGCCTTGAGAGACATGATATTCCCGTTTGGGAAGTCCCGGGCTTGTGACAACCAGCTCAGGGGATGTCACCTTGATGGTATCTGAACAAAATGAGGTTTCCTTTCATGCAGAGGCCCAGAGAGGAGGCACACCCACTGAGCAACAGAGAAACAGGACCTACAGAAATGATGTTAACAAAATCAACCAGATTTTAGAGATAGTACCACATATCTGAGAATGAAAAGAAGAGCCAAATTTTCTGTGGGGGGTTGTGGGCATATATGAAGGGGGGCGGGTGGCAATAAGTAAAGAAAAGGGACTAGCTTTCTATTTTATTCTACAGCTCCTGGTACAACACTCTTATATCTCCTACCAGAACTAAATACTGAGAGTTAATTAGTTTTCATCAGGCATCATCCCCCCTGGGGATAAGGGTGGAAGGCAGCTGGGGCAGCCTGACCCGGTGCCTCATTGTCCATAAGGGGTTTGCCGGGCGCTTAAGCAAATGGCAGGCACAAAGCAGATTCTCAGTGTGGGCTGAGGTCACCGATGTTCACAGAGTTCAAAGAGTAACCTTGGCGCAGAGCAGCCTGAAAGGTCTGGGCTTTCAGAACCAGAGTCTTCCAGGTAAGGAGAAAGACCTTCCAGGGGAGTGGGTGGAAAACGCCAGCCGCTGTGTGAGGTAGGGGGAAGCACACGGGAAGGGGAGAGAAGACCACAGGGGAGCGGCTGGTTGGGACTAGTGGACAGAGGGTCTCCGGATGATTGGAAACGCAAGGACCTGCTATGGGCTGATGGTACCAAGAAGGCAGATGAAAAGTCTCTGGTCATTTTCTTTATGTGTCCCTGCCTCCCTCCTATGTTTTCTCCTTCTTTCCAGACTTGTCTTCCTTCTTCTGTCCCTATGCAAAACCAGATTTCCCTGTTGCTGCTCATAATGCATATTTTCATTTTTCATCCTTAGGAAAGTAACAGGCATGATGGAGGGGTGAGGAGTAATGTTTCACGGGATCAGTGTGCCCTCCTGCCCGTGTCTTGCTGAGCCCAGTCCAGCAGAGGTTGAAAGAAAGGATTTCTGAAATGTCCTGTGATCTTCTCATTTGTTCCCAGTGGCTAAGGCCCCAGCGGGCTCTCCCTGAGTTGGAAGTTGTCACCCCAACTTTTGGCGCTCCAGGTCCATGAACTTCGGTGATTTTCTCAGTTGCGTGTAAACATAAACACACACATGAACACACACACGTACACGCACATGCTGAATGTGGAGTAGTAGAACACGAACGGCCAGTTAAACCCTGTGGCTGTGTCACAATGAAACAGAAAGAGAAAGGAAATAAATCCAAGGACAGGCAAACAAGCCAAAGTGGCAGAGGTCCCAAAGGGATGCATGGGGTTCAGTGTCGAGGATTGCTCTGGTGATGGACATCTAGAGGGCTCCAGGCACACCAAGCCCCAGAGCTGAGGCAGACAAGAGTTGGGACCCCAGCAAGCCAGGATGGGATGGCCCCTCTCAAATGGCCTCACCGCCTCCAGCCTCAGCAGAGTAAGCAGCAAGCTAAGCCCTCGGTAGGGAAGCAGAATAAAAAGGAAAAGCACCGCTGACCAGATCGGAATTCCCAATTTACAGTTGAGTGGCCCATGGGCCTGTCCCGGGCTTGGCGGAGACAGTCCTGCATGGCTGGTCTTTGCCAAGGCCAAGGTGTGCTCTGTGCATCATGCTTCCTACATGGATGGGCACGAGGGCCACAGGCTTTCTGCACCTCTCCTCCCTTCCTCCTTTCCACCAGGGAGGACCTGAGGGGACAACCGAGTCAGGGAGGGGGACAGGACGGCACTGCAAAGTTTAGTAATAATAAAGGAAATCAAAGGAATCTGAATAGAAAAAAAAAAAGGAGCATCCAGTTTACAACTGAAATGAAATTGAAAACTTGTTCTTTTTTTCTTTTTTCTTTTCTTTTTTTTTTTAACAGATTTAGATAAACAATAAGGGGGGATGGGAAAGAGAAGCCTCTTTGAATAATAATTTTTTAAAAAAACCCACAAACATAAAAAAAAATCCTGTTTTTGAACTTCTCTTGAGAATAGTTCAATATGAGGTCTTGCACCCTAAACAGTTATATCTGGAATTTAAAAAAAATCGCAGCTCCACACAACAAAGACAAACGGTATTTACTGAAAAATATTGTGTGTGTGTGTATATACATATACATACGCACACACACACACACACACACATATATATATATATATATCTTTTTGTGGAGTTTTTTTTGTGATTTTTTTTTTTCTTTTCCTTTTTTTTTTTTTTGTGTGTGTGTGTGTGTGTGCCCAAGTAGAGATACAATGGGATTGAAAAGATGCCCTAGAACAGAATATTCCTTACAGGAGTAATACTTTGAAAAATAACATTTAAAAATGGTTGAACATACTTGCAACACCTCCAGAAATTCAACTTGGTACAATGTGAAAATGAATAATTGAATCAAATCTTCACTCAAATGACATGGCCTCGAAGACCCAGAGTATGCTGCTGGTATGAGTCTCGCCATCCAGACAGGGGCTGATATTCAAGCACCATCCCCTCCTCCCTGCTGCCCGCTCCCCAGCACCCTTATACTCCACCTCAGCCATACCCAGAGTCTGTCTTATATCCATTTTCTACATTTCTGGCAAGACCTTGCAGCAGACACATACACACATGTATACGTGTGCTATGGGCACACACACACACACACACGCACACACACACATGCACACGCACACTCACTGCACACACAAAATTTCCCACTCAACCCAGATGCACCAAGTGAGCTGAATGACTTTCAGCCAACCACAATGGTGAAAGACAGAAGCACCAAACAGTCTTTGAAATGGGTCAGTTATTACAATTTGACTTTTTTTTATATTCTAATTTTCCTCTTTTGTTAATATTTTTAAAAAGCACAAATAAAAAATGAAGAATTCTTTCCAGATCAATTTAAGGCTTCCCACCAAATGGAAACAAAAGAGGCCTTACACAATATCACACGTGATAAATGTATACCTTTCATGGCCTTAAAATGACAGAACGAATCATTTTTGCCGGTCACTGATTTAAGTATTGTGCCTTTAAATTGATGTCATTCTTTTTGCTACTATGCTGAGTTTTATTATTACTGATGTTCTTTGATTACATAAATGGAAATCTCCTTTAATTTGCTTTAGAATTTCCTGTTCTTTTAGAATTATTGGGGTGGCTTTTTGTTTTGTCCTGTTTTGCTTTACCCCAGGAAACAAATGCGATTCTTAGCAGGTGAATGCTAAAATGGCACATAGTCAGCCTTCAAGTACCTTTTCCAGCCATCTGAGTTTCAAACAGCCAGCCTTTTGGCTCCTAGAAGGCGCTGATAAGTTAGGGGCAAGGGACAGGGGACAGGGAGAGAAACCAAAAAGGAGGAGGGTTTTCTATGCCTTTGCTTTTGGTAAATTTGTTTTGTTCAATACAAATAATCAGATAGGAAGAATGATTGCTTTGCGGTTTTTTTGTTGGTTGGTTTTCGTTTTGTTTCTAGATTTGTTTCATTTGATTGTTTAATTTTTCCTCTCCTGGAGCAAAAGTCACCAGAGAGTTTTGCATGAGGAAACATGACAGTACTTAATGAAACTCAGCACCTAAGGGCATAAGGCAGTTGAAGGTTTTGTTTGTTTGTTTGTGTTTGTTTTGTTTTGTTTTGTTTTGTTCTTTCAATCAGCACCAATCCCGTAAATGATCTACACTTGGTGTAAGGTATAAAACTTTTTTTTTTTTTCTTTTGGAGTGGAGACAACTCCTCCTTCTCCACCCTATGAACCATAGTGTGGGATTTTTTTCAATACTGTTTCTTATGTGTAAAAAACAAAAGAAAAGTTTTCTTTTTGTTTTTACTTACAAAACATAGAGAATATCTTTGTATACATACAGCGACTGGAAAGAAAGCTTATCTGAAGGGGTTGTGACTTATTCTTTTCTTTTTTTTTTTGTAGCATTGGTGGTGGTGATGGTGGTGGTGGTTTTGTGTATTGGGGGAAGGGAGGGTTATATTTCTTGTGAGCGGTGTTTACTGCAAACCAAACTTAAGGTCCCCTTCTCAACTTGGGTCAAGATGCTCTTAGAGTGAAGACTCATACTGTAGCAACTCATAAAGGAGCGGTCCGTCTCGATACCGAATGCCTACTGCGGTGGGGGTGACATACTGCAGAATGTTAATAGTCCTTCTCAACCTCCTGTCTACAAAATGAGCATCCCAAGCTGGGTATCTCTTTCTTGGCATGTCAATCTTAATGAGGGGCCCTTCTGGGTAGTAAGGACGCCCCAACGGGGTAGGGGGCCCCATGGGTCTCACTTGGAAAACGGGCAAGCAAGTGTCAGCCGTGAGATCCTCCTGTTGTTCCGTTACGGCTCTGGTGGGCGTGACCTGGGTCCCCCGGTACCCAGGGGTCTGAGGCGCCATGGGCTCAACATCGGGGGGCAAAGGGATGCCCCAGAGCAGCTCGGCACAACAGGAGCTGGCAAAAATCTTAGCTCGCGGCCCCATGGGATGCAGCACACCGTAATATAAGAGCATCATTGCGATCCCAGCCACAAAGCTAATAAAGACACAACACAGTGCTGGCACCGCGTAGGAGTCAGTGGTCTCCGGGTTTCTGTAAAAATACCAAAGGAACGTCAAGGCAGCATTCTCGGTCAAGACTATCGTATAATATGCAAACATTCGATATCGAGTCCGCCCTTCCTTGACGTTAAACCAGCAGAAAATGTACACAATCCCTACCACCATGTTGAAGAGGATCTCCTCCCACTTGGACATGCAGAAGTCTGTTCCGCCATGGATGATCCAGAAGGCCATGGCACACCAGTGAACCACCACGAAGATCCCAAAGTAGAGCTGGAATATGGAAGCAAAGAGGGCAAAAGAGATAACTCTGGATGAGATGGTGAAGAGGCGCCAGAAGAGTTGGATGAGGGCCCCTCTGTAGCTCATACTCTTCTTGTCGTCCCTGGAGTCCCGCAGCAGCTTGTGATAGGAGGCTAGCACCCAAGCCAGGGACATCAGGGAAGTCACAGAGGAGACACCTGCCGGAAAGACACAAACCCACACAGTCAAAACCTTGGACATCAAGCGCCGGGCAGGGTGGGGGTGCCAGCCGAGGAGACGCCCACACACACCGCAGTCTAAAGGAGGAGGGAGAAAGAAACACACAATCAGACACTGGATCTTGAGGTCACAGCTGTTTCCTAAGCTGACAACTTTTGAGGTCTAGTTTTACTTTTCGCAACCCAGTCTGGAACTCCTGGGGACCCACGACTCAAGAGTGAAGCTGAGGCTGACGTGCCTCGCCAAGGGAGCCGAGAACTGGGGCCACCGTGGTGATCGACTGCATCTGCGGTGGGCCGGGCGGCAGGTGTTCTGTTTTAAGGCATCATGAGCTTGCGGGGAAACTTGTTGCACACACATGTGTGGCCGGGGTCCATGGCCCTGTCTCCAGCAGCCTGGTGGCTCTCAGAAGAGCCCACAGAAGGGATCTGTGAAGCCCATCGGCTTGCTCACTGCCCCAAGTTCCACCACTATTCTCCCCTGGAAAAGCACTGGAGTCTCTATTGCTTTTTCACCAGCTCGCCCATGCCTCTGAACTAAGGTTTTTGCATTTAGTTTCTCCATCCCCTGCCCATGACCACCTTGATCACGGGCCCTGGGATATCCTGCCTGTTTCGGTGGTTGCCTTTCTCATTCCTTCTTGTCTCTCTCATTCTTGTCCAATCTTTGTTTCTTTCTCCAACCCACCACTCTGCTCAAAGTTCTCTGAGGCCTTGGCTTGGGAGGCCCGTCCTTGTCTGGTCTCTGTCCTGACTCAGCAGCACTGTTGCTCATGCTTCAGGAATGCCTTTTCCGCTCACCATCCTCGCTCATCATTCCCTGCATTTCTCCTCGGCGGGCAAGTGAATGTGTCTGATCCCAAGTCATATTTCAATTCCCATAGAGCAATTTTATTTATAATGCTGCCTATTGGATTTTGGTAACTCAATCAAACTCAACACAATATATAGTTACTGGAGTTTCTCCAAATCCACCCACAAGAAACCAATTATTAGGCAAGTATTACCATACAACCCCTCTCAAGCAAGATTCCCCATCACCGCTCGATGCCCTCACGCATTTTCTCCACTCCATCTGAAGCCTCTTTTGTTTTTCTTTTCTCTCCAGATTTCAGAACTAAATGCAACTCAATTCAGTTGGAGTCCTGAATGCTGTTCCTTTGGCACCCATCTCCTTACCAGTTTCCCTACCCTCATACCAGAGCACAATTCCCCTATGACATTCTCCAGGCTGAAGTTAAAGTTACCTTATCAACCTCTCTCACCTCAAAGGTCCATAAGCCTGCTCATCAAGAGACTCATTCAACTGCCCCAGCCCTGCAGCCTTTGGTTTTTCCTTGGGGCTCTGCTCATCATCCCACTCCCCTCTGAGGCCCTGGGGAGAGTCAAAGTTCCCTGTCATTTTACACTCTCCCTGCATTCACCTTCCTTACCCACCTCACTCACGTACTCCCTTCCAACATCTCACAGAGATGCTCAGGTTTACAGCTTGCAGAATGATACAGTGCAAGACTAGAGGAGCAAGATGGCGCAGGAGTAGGAGACCTGGATTTCGTCTGGTCTCAGGAATTCAGCTGAATAGGGATCAAACCATTCTGAACACCTACGAACTCAACAGGAGATCGAAGAAGAGAGTAGCAACAACTCTCTGAACAGAGAAGCGACCACTTACTGGAAGGTAGGACGTGCGGAGAAGTGAATCTGAGGCGATATTCCGGAGGATAGACGGCGGGGGAGGGGGCCTCCAACGGCAGCTTCTGGCAAGTGATAGAGTCGCGGAGCACAAAATCGGAACTTTTAGAAGCCGGCTCCGCTGAGGGACGTTGCTCCAGTGGCTAAGCGGGGGGGGGGGTGGAACCCTCGTGGGAGAGTGTGGTCTCAGGACCCTTGGGGTCACAGAAAGCCCGGGAGTGCCTGAGTGCAGCAGAGCTCCCAGGTATTGGGGCGCGGAAGCCGGCTGCAGAGACGGAGCCAAGGCATGGGCTCTCAGCTCAGTGTGGCCATAAACTATGATCTGCGGCCCAGTCGGGCCACTGCTCCTCTAGCAGGGACCCAACAAGCGGCAAAGCTGGGGAGACTCCCCTCCCTCCCCCGGGAGGAGCGGCACGGGAACGCACCGCAGGGATCTGCTGGGTTTGGAGACTCCACATGGGGTCGGATGCCAGAGATAGAAACGCTCGGTCACAGGCTGGGTGAGCACGGAGTGTGGCCGGAGACCAGGGAGACGGGAGTGACTGCTTTTCTCTGGGGACACACTGAGGAGTGGGGCCCCAAGTTCTCAGCTCCTCCAGGTGGAGATTGGGAGGCCACCATTTTCACCCTGGTCCTCCGAAGCTGTACCGAGAGCTTGCAGGGAACAAAAGCCCCTGAGAGCAAACCCAAGCAGCTTGCTTAGCCCGGACCGACAAGGGTGGGGCAATTCAGCCTCCAGCAAAGACATTTGGGAACCACGGCAACAGGCCCCTCCCCCAGAAGATCAGCAAGAACAGCAAGCCAAGACCAAGTTTACCCATCAAGGAGAACGGGAGAACTCCAGCACTAGGGGAATACTGCACATAGAATTCATGGCTTTTTTAACATGATTCATTAGTTTTTCAAAGTTAATTTTTTAACTGTTTTTTTTTTATTTTTCTTTTTCCCTTTTTCAACCAACATCTTATCAATCCCTTTTAAAAAAAAAACATTTTTTATTTTTCATTTTTAGAGTCATATTTTATCCCTTCATAGTAGTTACCCTTATTTTTGGCATATATATATAAGTTGTTCTCTCTTTAAAATTTTCAGATACAGTTTCTTCTAACAGATCAAAATATACCCTAAATCACCAGTGTATGGCTTTGTTCTAGTCTCCTGCCTGATCTTATCTTCTTCTTTTTTATAAAATCTTCTTTCTTTTTTCAAACAATTTCTTATCGTATCAATTCCTTTTATAAAATCTTTTATAATTTTCATCTTTACAGTCATCTTCCATCCCTTCATTGTATCAACCCTTATTTTGTACATATATAAGTCTTTCTTCCTTTAAAATTTTAGGAGGCACTTTTTTCTAACAGACCAAAATACGCCCAAAATCTAGTGTGTGGCACTGATCCATGCACTAGCCTGATCATATTTGATCATATTCGGGTTTTTTTTGTATTGTTCTGTTTTTGTTTTTATCATTTTCTTTTTGTTTTTTTTTCTTTCTTTTCTCTTTCTTTTTTCTTTCTTTCCCTTTCTTTTCCCCTGGTTTCAGGTCTTTTCTGATTTGTATAGAGTATATTAGCTGGGGACATTGTTAACCTGTTAGCATTTTGTTCTCTCATTCATATATTCTGCTCTGGACAAAATGACAAGACGAAAAAAATCACCTCAGCAAAAAGAACAAGAGATAGTACCGTCAGCCAGGGACCTACTCAATACGGACATTAGTACGATGTCGGACCTAGAGTTCAGAATCATGACTTTAAAGATACTAGCTGGGCTTGAAAAAAGCGTGGAAGTTATTAGAGAAACCCTTTCTGGAGAAATAAAAGAACTAAAATCTAACCAAGTCGAAATCAAAAAGGCTATTAATGAGGTGCAATCAAAAATGGGGGCACTAACTGCTAGGATAAATGAGGCAGAAGAGAGAATCAGTGATATAGAAGACCAAATGATGGAAAATAAAGAGGCTGAGAAAAAGAGGGAGAAACAACTACAGGATGACGAGGGCAGAATTCGAGAGATAAGTGATACAATAAGACGAAACAACATGAGAATAATTGGGATCCCAGAAGAAGAAGAAAGAGAGAGAGGGGCAGAAGGTATATTGGAGCAAATTATAGCAGAGAACTTCCCTAATGTGAGGAAGGAAACAGGCATCAAAATCCAGGAGGCACAGAGAACCCCTCTCAAAATCAATAACAATAGGTCAACACCCCGACATCTAATAGTAAAACTTACGAGTCTCAGAGACAAAGAGAAAATCCTGAAAGCAGCTCGGGAGAAGAGATATGTAACTTACAATGGTAGAAATATTAGATTGGCAACAGACCTATCCACAGAGACCTGGCAGGCCAGAAAGGACTGGCAAGATATCTTCAGAGCACTAAACGAGAAAAATATGCAGCCAAGAATACTATATCCAGCTAGGCTGTCATTGAAAATAGAAGGAGAGATAAAAAGCTTCCAGAACAAACAAAAACTAAAGGAATTTGCAAATACGAAACCAGCCCTCCAAGAAATCTTGAAAGGGGTCCTCTAAGCAAAGAGAGAGCCTAAAAGCAGCAAAGATCAGAAAGGAACACAGACAACATACAGTAACAGTCACCTTACAGGCAATACAATGGCACTAAATTCCTACCTTTCGATAGTTACCCTGAATGTAAATGGGCTAAATGCCCCAATCAAAAGACACAGGCTATCAGATTGGATTAAAAAACAAGACCCATCAATATGCTGTCTGCAAGAGACTCATTTTAGACCCAAAGACACCCCCAGATTGAAAGTGAGGGGGTGGAAAACCATTTACCATGCTAATGGACACCAAAAGAAAGCTGGGGTGGCAATCCTTATATCAGACAAACTAGATTTTAAAACAAAGACTGTAATAAGAGATGAGGAAGGACACTATATCCTACTTAAAGGGTCTATCCAACAAGAAGATCTAACAATTGTAAATATCTATGCCATGAACATGGGAACAGCCAATTATATAAGGCAATTAATAACAAAAGCAAAGAAACACATTGACTCCAATACAATAATAGTGGGGGACTTTAACACCCCCCTGACTGAAATGGACCGATCATCTAAGCAAAAGATCAACAAGGAAATAAAGACTTTAAATGACACACTGGACCAAATGGACTTCACAGACATGTTCAGAACATTCCACCCCAAAGCAATGGAATACACATTCTTCTCTAGTGCCCATGGAACATTCCCCAGAATTGATCACATCCTAGGTCACAAATCAGGTCTCAACCGGTACCAAAAGATTGGGATCATTCCCTGCA